TGCTGAGAACGCCTGTATTCCACTGTTTTGGCTACAGCTGTGCTGATCCCTTGGCGAACACAGGTTAGCTAGGACACGCATCATTCAGCCACTGAATGGGGGATGAAGGAGCTGACACGGGTCTTTTTCCTTCTGCTCTCTACAACACTATGAAACAATGAATATCCTATGGAAATATTCTACTTTCACATGAGAATGAACGCTTGAACGAACCCATGCCATATGTCACACAGCATCAGTAGCTCCGATCGGGCCAGATCTGACCCCTAGAATGTAGCCGAATTTGCTTGGTAAAACGTTTGAAACACGAGACATTGTGATACAACTTACATTTAATAATACATGTCGTATTAACAATGACCTTATACTGTTTGAATATTGCACCGTTTCCCAGTCAATTGCACTCATATTACAGATGAATTGCTCCCGAGGGAACTCGTATTCTTCCTTAAGGCTACTCAACTTAGTTTAAAAGGCAGTCAAATCGCATCCACTGATGTACACAAGAACATAAATGCGTGCTGTCGGTTGTGGCCAATCCCAACTAAACCAATAGCGTATCGAACAAGTATTCATTATGAAATGCTAGTACGACTGTTGAACAGAGACACACCTGGAGTGCAGAGAGATGGCGCATGAAGAAGAGTTTAGCAACAATTGATTACATTGAAGCTAGGCTCACGTAAGTTGCGAGACACTCGTATGGTCAAATAAAAGGGGACGGCAGTGGAAGTTTTTCTGCACGGTTCTCGGCCATTCGCTCGTGTCATGTTTGTGGCGTGCGAGCTCGCTAAAAGGTGGTGGTGGCCGAAACCACAAAGCGTGACGTAGAGGCAAGGTGGAGCCCACACAGGACCGCAGTCAAAAGGCACGCAGGCGCGGGACTGAGAATCTCGAAACCTGGGGCCAACAGAGCGTCCTGAGTGGGGGATGCGATCAAATCCACTGTTAATGAAGTCGAAAGGGTCCCGCAAAGAGGGTGTGGGGGAGCGAATGAGATGTCCACCTAGGGCGATGGCAAATGCAAAGCGCGGAGAATCAGAATGAACAATGTTGGGTTGGTACTCCAGAGTGTTGCTCACAAGGGGCGAATGAGTTACCCGATGTTGACGCAGTCTCAGGCAATTTCGACCAGACAAAGTCCTCTCTTAAGAGTACGCGAACACAGTGCGTGCTCTTCTAGTATGTACCAAAAAGAGATGAAGGGTGGTGCCGTCAAGTTTGGCGAGTAATTGGTATACCTCTTCAACATCGCAAACCAAGCTGTCGAGTTCGGTAAGGACGGCAGACGTCGAACTCGGTACGGAAACCTAGTCATTTGCAAATACGGAAGTAAAGTGCGCCGACAAGACGGACGCAAGCTCAGTGCCGGAGGTTAGGGACTGTCCATCCGAGCCCTCTAGCACTGGCAGATCAGCTGTCGGCTTGGATCTCCGTTTCACGTAAGCAAAGATTCGCTTCGGAGCATCATTTGCAGCGGTTGTGAGCTGCTCTTCGAAATACCGGGGCTGGTACGATTTTGCACCATTTCAAATATTTCGTCTCTTATACGCTACGTAGTCAGTGGAAGAACCGGAGAGGAAGAATTTGTCAAATAGTTTGCGTCGTTGTCGAGCTATTTTATCATATTCCTTGTCGAACCAATGCGGCTTGATTGGTCCAACTTTCCGACACTTCAATGGTACAAACAAAACACAGTAATAACAGTCCAACAGTCGTTCATAGATGCAGCAGAGACAAATTCACTTGGCTTGCGGCTCGAGTTAAACCGTCGAAGTCAGTTTTCCAGTGGTTGATTGTACGCTGGGTCCAGCGGACGGGAATACGGTAAAGGTGGATCCACGCTAGCCACCAGCAATGAGTGGTCGTTTTGCTGCTAGGGACTCTAGAACCTGAACTTCATACACATTTTGTTCACAGCTTGTTAACACCAAGTCTAGGCACGACGGAGTTGAGCGCGGCGTTATTTGTATCAATCGGCATTTGTGTTGCGCCGCTGCACGAACTTTGCCTCGACCTCGTAATGTCCGAGCATGAGTTGGAGTTAAGGCGAGCGTACTCGAAAATAATTGAGCATCCATGAGCAGAAAATGAGGACGAGTCATGTGGCTTCGGAGATGCGGCAGCCAATCCAAAAAACGGCTCTGAGGACCGCGATAAAATGAACCCAAGAGCAGCTCCCCGCGCGTAAGATGGATCGAGCATCACAATTACTCTCACAAGCCATTATCGCTTCTGTAGACGCTCACAACTCTCTCACAAAGGGAAAACCGGATGTAGAGCAAAACATCACCTCGGCCAGTCGATACTCTATTGCAGTGGAAATGGAGTAGCCCCTGAGTTCGATTTCCTAGGCTATCACCTCAGAATACAGCCATGTCTCTGCGAGTCCCACTACGTCTGGTTGCTTAGATGCAACAAAACGAGAGGGTTCGTCGCGCTTGTTCATAGGACTGCAAACGTTGGTAAAAGCTATACACAGGCCGCAGCAGGAACCACGGGGCGTGCTTGTAGTGTGAACAACCTGTTTATCTTGATTCGTGAAATCATGGAAAGGAGCCGAAAATTTACGATATGGAGATCTGTTTCACCATCACCGTTTCGTCTCTTCAGCTCAATGATGGTAGACTTGGGCCATTCTCGATTTAACGGATCCAGATCTGGGCGAACATGGATGTTTAAACCTTTCTACATAGTTAAGCGGGACAAGATCAGCCTCGAACTGACTTCGTGCACGAAGGTAATTCTTGTTGGTCGGCTTTGCTGACTACCATTCTTTCTAAGATGGGTCATTTGTCTTACTTCCAACCCGTTTTCACCCACGTCGAGCAGTCTACCAATTAGAGTAGGTAAAAACCCGATTTCATGATTGTAGCGCATCTGGGAAGCTGGATCACTCAGGAGCGTGGAAGATCACGGGGTTAAAGCGCCTCTGGCCGGCGAAGTTTAACCTTGTAGGGCGAGGACTTTCCTGAGCTTCACGTGATCTGGCCTGCCGTTGTTTTGCAGCGGCTGAACACTTTTCATTTGTTCGGGTTTTTTCCTTCCTTGAACTTTCCACGTGTCTTCAGTACACAGACGTTCACACATCAGGAAATCTGTGCCCGTATGATAACAACACAGGTAAAAGGTTCATGTTAGGTGATACTGGGCTGCTGGAAACAACGGAACTTCGTGCCGGTGAGTATGTACGGGACGAACAGAAAAGCTTACCTGAAACCTGGTGGGTGGGGGAATCGGGCTGGTTTGCTGAGCAATACACATAAAGCTTCTCTCAACGAAATGATTCATGTTACAAGGCGACTTGCGATCTTGCTCTACTTTCTCCGGAGTGAGCAAAAGATTGCCGATACCAGTGCCAGATACACACAACAGACTCTTGGGTCAATCACACTTTATCATTGATGTGGGTAACAACGACTAATGGTATTAATAGTAAAAACTGCAGTTGACGTATATTGCTAATCAACTTTGGTCCGCTGGATATTCATTATCGTAGATGTGCATCAACCCATATTTAGAGCGGACATCTTAACACATACACCTTGTTAGTGAGTGCCAACACGCATCCTACTGTTCTTAGTGTACATCAGCCGATTTATTAACTTAGTACTAGTAATCGGGTTAGCTGAACCCGTATGAAAATCTGAAGCAGTAAATCCCACGGCCAAACAGATCCGAGATGAATAATACTTTGGAGTGGAACAACGCATCTGACCAAGATGCTCTCTTTCCATTGTTGCTAAAAGACGATCAGACAACAAAGGTGATCGTTTCGTTGGACAGTTCACGTGAGAAAGGAGACCGTTTGGTGCTGCATTGGGATGGCTACTGATCTCGAAACGCCCACACTGGACAGACCGTATGTTTCGCATACTTGCAGCCCGGTAGCCTCAGCTTGCATCGTTTCTCAACACCGTGTGCAGTTGGGTGAAACCAGAAGGCTGTGTTTTTTGGAGTTTGTCGACATTCAGGATGGGACTAGAAGATTGGCCAGATCAACGGATAGATATCTAGTTAACGGTGCCTTGGTCGCGTATGTACTAGTGCCTGCATTCGGTCCCTAAATTGTGGGTATTGAACACTACATATGGCGATTTCACTTTTTGCCAATCACGAACTACTAATATGATATATCAGTATTAGTGCAAGTTGAGGCAATGCGAGCAAATCCTATGAACCGGTCGCGGGACTGGTGTGTCCGATATGTTTGGATCTATCCCCGCAATTCAGCCATGACTAGTAGTTTACGACAACGCACTTGCGTGCACATAGGAAACATCAGCATCTGTAACGCTTGTCCTGCTATCCCACTGGCAATTTATGTTGGACAGAAAATGCTCGCATGGTTGCGCTTGCGTTTGGGAGGGGGGGGGGGCACACAATCACATGCGAAGCCATGGATTTTGCTCTACCCCGATTGGATAGCCGAACGACCGTTACTGATGCCGGCGTTTCCCATATGCGGGCAAGTGCGTTGTTGAAAGGTACTAGTCATGGCTGAATTGCGGGGATAGATCAAAACATATCGGACACAGTAAATGCTCATGTGCTTCAGAGAAAGTGCTTCGTGTGATACGCATATATTTGCGAATCGGTGAACTTATGGTTTTCTGGACAAGTAATGACTTCGCCATTGAGCAGGCCGAATCAATAAGTAGCTAAGGTCGCCGCTAGTAATAAGCACTTATTAACCGCAAGTGACATCAAATATCGCGTAAGATGACACAGCTGATGACCACGGATAAAAATTTTCAGCCAACAGTACCCTATTAATACTGTGCCAGAGAGATAAGGATTGGAAAGAGGGAATACGTTGCTGTTCACGTGACCGGTGCCACTGGACTATATACTCAGTCACCTTGAAACTGATGGCTACTCGCATAATGTTAAAGACTTAAGGTCTGCTAAACACAATTTATTTAATTACGAATCGAGAGTGACTTCGCCAAACAGTAAGTAAAGAGATTTCTGAATCGAGGAGGAACGTTGGAACTCACGAGCAACTCCAGTAGGGCTAGAGATGATATGATAAACACAGGCTTCTCCAAAGCGATGCGACGGGTAGTGTTGAGATGTCCACCATTCGACCGATAGGTGGGCTGAATCAACGAACACAAAATGCGGACCAGCTTGGATAAGCGTCCTCGGCGAGTGGACGAACAGAAGATATGCAGAAACATAAGCAACGGAATCGTCTGGTACACGTAGTGGCGAACAGCAGAAGACCGAACTGGAAGGACAGTGACAGATAGGGGATCGAAAAAAGCAAAAGTAATTATGTGGGTAGCAGATTTGTCGGAAATTTGTCAGAGAGTTGCGAAGCGCGAAACAGACCAAGTGGAAAACTCAATCTGGATCTACTGGAAGGAAGGGAGCACAAAATCAAGGGATAAGGGATACTCAAACCCGATGGATGTAAACAAGACAGTAGCAAATATCAGAGTCAGTGAATCACAAATTTGAGATGGAATGAAAGGTTTTCAACTAGAGCGTTATGATCCGAAGGCCGCGTACAATAAGACGACTTCAATAAGAACAATATATGTCACTTGTACTCAAAGTAGTGTATGGGTATTTTTAGAGCATTGCGTCATTAAAGATTCAGTCAGCAAGTCGTGCAGCAGCATGGTGCAATCTATAGTGACTTGTGGGGTCTTCCAGATATGAAAAAAGTGCTGGGGAGGAGCGAAACGGAAGTAACGATACACAGTTTGGTGGTTTGCGTGAGTTACAAGCATATCATAACACATGTTGCGAAGACACAAAAAGAACCGCAGAGTCCTCGAATGAATACAAAAGAAGCGAACAGAATACAAACGGTGGCCAAGAGGAGACACCAAAGGCGACTCGTCCACGGCCGGTGTGAGTCGGAAAATGCTGCGGTAGCAGAAGAGTGCCGAAACAAAGTTCGACAATGGCAATGAGAGAAAACTGAAATTAAACTGAATGCACATTAGGATACCAAAGATGTGGTAGGGGATAAACGATGATGATGAAGGATGATGATGATGATGAATGAATGAAGCAATGAAGACGAGAATTCTGTTCACGTAGTTGATTGCAAGATGCGCTCGAGAAGAGTGTGTAAAGCGTGGGCTGTACGAATCGAAGGAAAATAAGCCGGGGCAGTTAAACCAATGATGAGGGTAAATAGTATTAATACGTATATAATTCATGAACAGAGACACTCAGTAGTTTCACTGATCAATATGTACACGGGTAGCCAAGCTCTTGCATGGGCGATAAGCATATGTGCAATCTTGAGACATGCGACGGATAGATATCATAGCGATATAGTGGATGGTTGGAGTGAAAGCCAAAGATAAGAAACATGGATGCCTATATGCTTTTCTGCTCCTCTTAGAATAGTTTTATCGAGTGACTGCCCATGAGAATGTAGTAATTATCATATACAAGTCAAGATAACTTGCGTGCTTGCCACTAAATGTTGCCACATGACCTGTGTCATTAGCAGTTTATTCTACATGTACTTATAACTGACCAGGAAGAACTTGGAGTGCATGGCTTGGTATAATAGCCAGTGCATAATCTTTGTTGCCAAGCTCTCGAAGTAAGCTATGTTGCGGTTCAAGTGTAGACAGATCCGGTTAGGTCATTTTGTGTTACAGGTTGTAAAACAGTAGCTTCAATTGTCAAATGGTTCAAATGGAAATTTTTCGCGAAACGCGGTAATCTATGGCAGTGTTTAACAATCAGATGTTTGGTAAATGGTCTTTGCAAGTGTTACAGAGCAACTATGTTGCGCTTTCTCATGTTGTTGTATATTATGCTGCAGTATTCGAAGACAAGGCGGGTGAGCAGATTAAAAACCTCAACTCTGTCATGAATTGTGTGGATCTTGTTGTATATATTGAACACAGATTGTCTGTAAGTAACGGAGTTCATCACATCATTTTTGACTAATTTTCCAAATAACCGAGCGATTATTGGAATGTGGTGGATTGACCGGAAGTTATTAATCGTTTGTTTGGGACATCCTTTGTGCATAGGCATGATAAATAAGGTTTTTTAATGAAAATGTGGAAAGTGGCTAGATTCCAACGATGGGGTAAACATGTTCATCAGGAGCAGTAGGTATGTCAGGCCATGTTATTTTAATGGTGGCTGGTGGAATGCCATCACATCCCAGCTTGGAAGATGACCTGCTTGATTGATTAACTTAGTGGATACCATTGAGCAAGACAATCACTCTACTCAGGAGGTTTGTTACTGCAAACTCTGTGTACGCAGGTACATGGTTATCGTCGAGACTAATGGAAGTGGCGTAGAATTAACTGAATGCATCATAGACTGCAACCCGGATATGAATTAAGTGGCTCACAACCTCAGTAATAATAGGACAGCGAGCGGTCTTTGGTTCTACGACGCAGTATTTTGATAAGCTCCCTCGCTTTACAGCTTGTTTGTAGGGCTGTATGTACTTCGTTTTTCCACCGCGTTAACCACATATGTTTCACTATGATGGTGAATTCGTGCATTTGTAGGATAAGTGAAAAGTCATGGGTGTTTCTGAATTACTCAGATAATTTTCTGGTTTGCTGACTGATTGAGTGTTCAACGGTATCTTTGGAAACTTGGACAATACTATCACATTGTGGAGCAAGGAGGGCTACAGCGCGATGTATCTGATTATGAAACTGCTCCACAGCAGTGTACAAACTGATAGAAGGAAGAATACATCCCAATCAGAGAGACGGATTAACTGTTGAAAGTATGTCGTCGTTTTGTGGATTGCACACCGCAATGTAGAAGCGAGTTTAGTGACCATTCTAATGTGGAAGTTGATGCTGAGGTACGTCACAACCCCATCGGTCTGTCGCCATTCATTTTGGAAGCTGTTGCTGTATGGGAAAGGAGGACTGATGTACAAAGAATGGACCGAAGTGCATAAAAGAGGCTCTTACCAAACATGGAGCTTGTACCGATAAGAACAACCAGCAACATTGTAAGGCACTCGGAATGCGATTCGATATCGGATGCAGATGGACCAATGGCAGAACACAAGACGATCAGACTCCAAAGGAGGAAGGTCGCTCCGATGCAGAAACTGCACAAACAATAGCAAAAGATATCGCGAGATAACAGGTAACGACGGAGAATTCATAACGCCGGAATAGTTAGGGTAACAACTGGTTTTTGTGAAGTCTTTATTGTGGTAGCAGGCCAGGTACCAGACACAAAAAGGCTAGTCACATTCGATCATTACTGCCTTCGCAGCTTAGCTCATGTCTAGTGGGAGCACCGCGTGAGCAATGAGCGTGTTCGACATCGCGTGTTTGGTGCAGGAAGAGCGAATGAACCGTTTAGCAACATTATATCACGCACCGGACGTCGACGGCTGGGCCACGTGCTGCAAACGCCAGCACACCGACTTCCGCGACGTGCATTGTTTGCGCGTTGTGGGTGCGGTTGGAAGAGGAGGAGGGGAGGCCAAGAGATGAGTTGGTCGAGAGAGATGAAAACCCTCACTTCGAAGATGGTGTCGTTTGGTGCATCCCGGTTGTCTGGCTGAGGTCCTAAAGACGTTTGGTTGGACACGCTGACATAGCGAAGAGCCGGCCCCAATGGTGCTTGTGTTGTGAGTTGCTTTGTCCATCCCCCTCCTCTTTAGATTCCCCCTTCAATTCCGATCTCATATGAAATTCATAATAAAATATTTAACATTATATTATTTGCTTTGGATTTTTTGTCGTCTAATTTTTTAGTATTTTATCTTTTTGTATTGCGGCACATTAGCTGAGGTGTGGTGTGTATTAATGATGATGTGGTGACAGGTGATCCTACCGATGAGGCTTTCGGCCATTGAAAGCATTAAAGCATAAGACTGTCACGAGAGTAGAGAAAATGAGGTGAGTAAACAACAACAGTTGAAATGCAAGCGAGTAACAGAATAAAAATTGAGGTTTTAAAAATGTAGATGGTTTTGAAAATATGCCTTATGCCTGCCTATGGACAGTTGCATCAACGTTTAGCAGGCGAAAGGTCAGCTGGTCCAACGGCGCTGACGGTAACTGCTGAAGGAAAAGGTTAAAATTTGGCCGTTGCGACGAAAAATATCATCAACATTTCGTGGTCGAACAAGTCAACGATGGAAATATCCCATTCAAATGTCTTA